TCAATGAAAAAAACATACATGTGAATATAAAAAATATATAAATAGATAAGATTAATATCAAAATCAATTTGAAAATACAACAGATAATAAAATGAAATAAACTAATACAAGTACAAATAGAAAGTTAATAACATACATTCTAAAAGTAACACATTTTAAGTAGATAAATGTTTAAAGAGTTTATTCCTGAACATAACTAATCTAACGTTTTCCCCCTTTTTAATATTATGAGGGTTTTTGTAGTTGAAATGAAAATTATAATTTATTTTGGTCATAATAAAAATTTAAACATAGGTTATCAAAGAGTAAAATACATAATAGAACTTCATAATCTTAAATCATTATCAAAAATTAATAATGGTAAAACTTCAAACAATAGATTCTTAAACAAATTTCTAGTTTTTGTTTTGCAAAAGACTTTTTTGCCTTCTTCGGTTGCCTCTGCCATTTTTCTTTAACTAGTTTCGAGGAGAATTTTCCAATGGCAACCAGTAGAACCATCAATTGGTTGGTAAAATTTTGATATTTTGGGTCTGGTAAGTCTTGTTAAACTTTCTTCTTAGGAAGCTGTAACCTTATGGAGAATAAAAATTTAATGTTAGATGAAAAGCTTTTAATTGAGAATTATATTTGCAAAGGCCGTTTTAATAATATTTTCAACAGTTCTTGGAATCGTTGTTAACAGAAACCTGCAAAAAAATATGTCATTATCACACAATGCACATTCATATAATATCATTGTTCTAGAAAAATACTAGGTAGGTCTGAGACAATTTAAAAAAAGTATTTCGAGAAACTCAACTTCTAATGTCATCATTGTACTTAACTTTTTTATTGCTAAATTATTAATAATGTCATTTTGTGTAGTTCGTTGTGATTTGTATAATATATATTATAAAAACCTATCGTCAATGTGCCAAGTTTTTTAATAATTATGTCCTTGTTATAGTAAAAACACATTTTTAAAGTTTTCTGGATTTCTGCTTTAAAATATCATACAATTGAACTGACTAATTGTGTGTTTAAGTAAAGGCTCTTTTTTGTTACAACAGTCTTTGTATATTGTTCTAACTTTTTAGATAATCAGAGAAAACAGTAAGACATCTTAATATATTCTATTTCACCAACAAAAATGTAGAATATTTAATCTCACATCAAACGAAAAAAGTCATTTTAGGATGTCCTAATAGGTTTTAACTTAAAAACTAAATAAAATGTATATTGCAACTGTGTTTAAATAAATGAATGTTTTTATACCTGACTATAGCACCAGAAAAACATTTATTTAGATCATAATGATCTGCATAACTCAAAATAGTCAAAATCCACATTATATAAGTTGTTCTAGTATTGTTTTAGCATAACGATGTAAACTCCAATAATAAATATTCAATGTTTTTTGAAACGTTATTTAAGGAAATTAAAAAAAACATGAATAATGTGATATTCTTGTTTAGTTTTGTACTATATAATATAGTTCATTAGGTAGTGATTTAGAAACAAATTATGTTCTATTTATGGAATAAAAAATCACTCATAATATCTAAATATTTATACCTATTTATATTTTGGACAGGAAGACTATTTTATGTTTTTGGCTCTGAATAGTTTTCTTAAGAATTTTAAAACCTTCCTTAGCTCTTTTGGGATATTCCATGCATATCTTAGAAGTTCATTTTGTTTAAACCTAAAACAAATTAAGTACAAAAAATGAAAATTTAAACAATGCACAAAATTAGTCTATTAGAAAAAGTGTCAACAAAAAAATGGCTTTGCCTTTTTCCTTAAACATTCTTTTTGAAAGAAACTTAAGTTTCTCTACTTACTTGCTGTTTTAGTATTTTAGTAGCAGATGAATATAGTATAGAAGTAGTGACAGGATTGATTATACTTCTTTCGTCGAAATTGCATTTTTATTTAATATTTTCCTCCTGAGGTCTGTAATAAAAATGTTCATTAGCATAAAAAGATATTCAGCTGGTCACTTGTTGAATTCCTATATTTTGGAACCATGTATTTCTTTCTCATATCAAGAAAAGGAAACCTAAAAAAAAAATAAACTTTACAAAGATGTGATATTAAAATAATAATAAGTAATTAACCTTTACTATAATCATTATGAGACGGATGAAGACGAACTTAGCTGGAGTTTACTTGCTCTTAATTTTAATTTTTCGATAAGAAAATAAGAAAGTTTAATTGCAAATTAAAGGTGATTGCCTAATGCACCGCCTCTGATAATTAGGTTGTGTCTGTACTTACTTATGATATTATCTTGAAGAAGCATTTTTAACAGGCCTTTTACACATAAAGCATGTTTTCATCATATTATTAGATATAATAAATCTTAAATATACATTTACAACCATTACAACGTTATAAATAATAACATTTTCCGTAAAATACAAATAAGAAATTGACATGTGTCAGAAAGTGTCAGAACTGGCGCTGTCAAACTTGGCAACGCTGATTAAATAAGCCAATTACAGAAGAGGTATTTTCCCCCTCGGGGGGAGTAGATGTTGCTAACAAAATTTAGCGCGGGGAAGGGGGGAAGACTCCCTCTAGTAGTAATTGCTCGGAGGTTTTTATTATCAATTTGACACTAGTTGACTTGACAACAACCAAATACAGCATAATAACCACGAAAAAAACACAATAAAACCTACAAAATCAAACAAGCGAACTTTATTCAAGGCGATAATATAAAATTGTCGCTAATTAAAAATAAAAGGGTACAGAAAATACCGTCGTGTCAACTTTTTCTATGAAAAACTTCTGCGCAACATTTCGGCGCACTTTTAGTACTAAATTTAGTAGAAAATAGAACAAGATCTAATTAATTAATGACTTTTTTTAGTACTAAATTTAGTACCTACTAAATTTGCTGTTTGCAACGTGAATTTTTTTAGTACTTAAAAAATGCATTAATTTAGTTCTAAATTTAGTACTTAATTTAGTATCGTGACATACAGCCTTTACAAACAACTTTTATTTCAACAATGTTTATAAAAATTATGTTTTTTACACTTTCTCAAATTTCTCGAATACGGACCATTTTTAGAAAATTTTGTATAGAACAAAAATTATAGATAATAATATTAGAAGTAACTTTTATTTGAAGAATTTTCTTCTCCAAACGTAAATAACAGATAAATAATAAAATATAGAAATGACCACCTATAAAGTACCCCCCAGATGTTCTGACTCTGCCCAAAATCTAATCAGTTCATTGGGCGCTGGAATAAAGCTTAAGTTTAAAATTTGGTATTTTTCTGTGTATCGGTTCATGAGTTATGGTGGATACAGACACGCACACAGACATCATCGCGAAAATAGTCAAAATGGATTCAGGGGATCTCAAAACGTAAAAATCCGTCGAAAACTCGAAGTCGAAAAAATCACGATTCCTATACTTTCCTTATATCTGTATACAGATAGGAAAGTAAAAAGTTGACGCGCAGCGGAGTGCGGCATTTTATCGTAAGCGGAAAATAGCTTACTACGTTAATTTGACAGACACGAAACACGGCTAACTTTACTAGCAAACGAAAAGTATGTTGTGTATATTGTGTTGCCTTGCTTACTGTAGGATTAATTTTATGATAAAAAATATTTGTTAATATAAGTACATCTTGAAAATAACTTACAAGATCATCGGAGAACACTTTGAGTGCAAATTAATAGCTCATGAACTGTTTTAAGTTTTATTTAATTTTACAAACAAAAAAATCAAATTCAAAAAAAATAATAACTGGTGAGGAGTGAACTCACGATCAGGTTCAAAGACAAACGCGCTAGGCTCTACACCAACAAGACATGTTAATTAATATATAAGTGTTAAAAACAGGGTAATTTATTTTTAATATTTTAATTATCATTTAAATATTAAGGAAAATGCGTTTGAGTATTATATGTTCAACTAAAAGATTCAGATTAGTCTACATTTTCTTTTTAACCGACTTCAAAAAAAGGATGAGCCCAATAAACCACAAATAGTCGGCCTTCGCTCGGCCTGACACCGTCGTGTACGGGATGCCGAGAACGCTGGTACAATAGGCTGGACGGACATGCCCTACCTATATGCCGAAACTGCACCCGTATATCGGGCAGAGTCCGGCAAGCCTCCTTCGGCCCAGTTAGGGAGTCGATTAACTGTGTTTATTGGGATGTTTTATGCATGTTGTGATAATTTTTTAACACGGTGTCTGATTTCAATGATTCTTTTTTGTTAGAGTGTACTTCAGGGATGGTCCCATATTAATTTTGTCAAAATCTAATAATTGGGTCCATTAGAAAATCCTCAAACTCTTCATTTTTAATGTATGTTTAGCGGTAATTCTTTACCACCTTGTTCGATTTCTGATTTTTTTTTGTTAGTAAGGGGACACCTCAGGGGTGGTCCCATATAAATTTGTTCAAAATCTAATAATTGGGTCCATGAGAAAAATCCTCAAACTCTCATTTTTTTATCTATGTTTAGCGATAATTCTTTACCACCTTGCCCGATTTCTAAGATTCTTTTTTTGTTAGTAAGGGGGTACCTCAGGGGTGGTCCCATATAAATTTGGTTAAGATATGTGGTGACGGCATCTGCACGGTTTTGAAGTATGTTTTTTAAAATTACTTTTAATACTTGTAAAGTACCAATTAGCTTTATAATAACAACCTAATATAATAACATGTTTTTCTAATGAAAATAGGCGTGTGCAAAAAGTAACTTTCCGCCTATATGCGGCAATAATCTCAAACTATGACAATTCAAGGATAACGTCAACTTTCCAGTTAGATTTGAATGTGCAAAAAGTCTACTTTGGATAGTGATCATAGAAAAATATATGTATTTGATTCATCCTCTAAACATTTACAGGAGTGATGATATAATAGGTTGTACAGGAATAATCAGAAAAATCCTATACTTACTTTAGTTAAGACAGGAAAAGGAAAGTCACGTGTTATTAGATTTTTAGATTTAACAAAGGCACTTAAATAATGACAAAAAAATTAAAAACTTCTTTATTAATTAAACATATTTTTTTCTTACAGCAACAACACTTAAACTTTTACATTCATTTACAAACTAATTTCTATTTTTTTATTCTTTTTGTTGCCTCCTTTTCTGACAGGTTTTCTTGTTTGATATATAGCTGTTTCATGATTTGTTATTGTGAGCATAGGGCTGCTTGAGAGATCCTCAATTATTATTGAATTATTTAGATGTTTAATTTTTTGAATCTTTTTTGCAGATTTTGTTCTTTTAATAACCTCATCTGTTTCAATTTCAACAATTTTGTGCTTCTTCAGCTTGTGAGAATTTTCTTTAATGGGTGTATTCTTATTTTCAATTTCTAGTTTTTTGTTTGTAGTTTTATTTTTTTTGTTTGGAATTCCTTCTGAAATATTCTGTTCTAAATTTTTGTGTTTATTTTTCTTCTTTTGGGAGTTTTCTTCAGTTTCTGTGTTTTCAATACCATTTACAATATTCTTGTTCTTTTTTTCAATTTCTAGTTCCTTGTTTGTAATTTTACTTATTTTGATTGGAATTTCTTCTGAAATATTCTGTTCTAAATTTTTGTGTTTATTTTTCTTCTTTTGAGAATGTTCTTCAGTTGCCTTGTTTTTTATGGCAGTTTCTATTTTCTTGTTTGTAATTTTAATTTTTTTGTTTGGAATTTCTTCTGAAATATTCTGTTCTAAATTTTTGTGTTTATTTTTCTCCTTTTGAGAGTTTTCTTCAGTTGCTGCGTTTTTTGTTTTCTTGTTATTTTCAATTTCTAGTTTCTTGTTCGTAATTTTACTTTTTTTGTTTGGAATTTCTCCTGAAATATTCTGTTCTAAATTTTTGTGTTTATTTTTCTCCTTTTGACAGTGTTCTTCAGTTGCTGTATTTTCAATAAGATTTTTCATTTTCTTGTTCTTAGTTTTACTTTTATTCTTTAGAAGTTCTTCTAGGGAAATTTGATCTAGACCAGGCTTGATCTTTTCTCCAACAGTGTTATCATTCAATTTCTCCTCACTCACACCTTTTTGTGATTTATCTTTTTCAGATTTTGGTTTTTTAATTGGGATATTTTCCAATTCATTAATGGTTTCATTATTTTCTTCAGTTACTGGATGAGGTCTTTTTTTAGCATTTCCAGTTTTGTTTTCTCTGATAACAGTCACTTGTCCAGATGGTTTTACAATAACTTCTGCATCTAACTGTGTTGTTATTTCTCCTCTGACTGCTTTTGGCTTATAGTCATTTTTGTGTTGTACCCTAACATTAGGAATTTCATTTGAATTTTCTGTGAATAAAAATAAAAATTTATGAAGTAAAATAAATATACTGATCCCACCAACCAAATATATCAATTGGAAATTTCATAAACATAAGTCTAGAAAGTATTAATACATTAAACATTTCAAGTGTGTTTTTAAAGAAGTATAGATTGCTAAGTTATTACAGAAAAGGTACAAACATTTATCTTGAAAAATTGGGATTGATTTTAATTAAATGTACAGTACTAACTAGAAAAATATCTTCAGGGCAGTAAGAAAATTACATTGTGAAAAAAGTTCATTATAAAAATAACTTACTAATTGACATATATACAGGAATAGAAGGGGCCCTTGGTGCAGTAATATGTAGTCCTTTGATATTGGCAAATCCACCTGGAAATTCTTTGTCTAAATATTCAACAACAGAAACAAAATTTTCCACTATTTTAGTTATTTCCATTTTACTACTGCCAAAATCAGTACAGTAACTGTTGCCCTTAAGATGTATATGAAAGAATGCTTTTGATAACTGTTTATCAATATGTTCCTTCAGCTTTGGAACTTGGAGTCTAACAGAAGTTGGAACTTTCCTTTTTTGATAAAAGACTTTTCCACACTTCTTAACAACTTTACCACTGACCTTTCCACATACTATAAAATACTCATACAAATCTGCAAGTCTTAATTTTTGCTCATATGTTTCATATTCTGTTACAAACTCATGAACAGTCATAATTTTCTTAATATTTGTCACTCCCTTTTTAGCAAATAAGTTTTCATAATGTTCAATATGTTTTTCATGTTCTTTATTTCCAATTCCAGGTACTTCTGATACAAATAAACATACATCATCATCCGGAGTTAAAAGGCTATGTGATAGAGGAATTCTTAATATTTTCTGATTTCCAGTTGGTATTTTATGACAGTTTACTGTTAAAGATATAGGGAAAGGTTCATCTTCAAAAAGTTGATTCTTAACTTTAGGATTTTCTGAATGAAGTTTAATCACTCCTGTAATGTAAACAAATTGTAATATTAACTTTCTATTTAGAGATTTATTAAACAAATACATTATAGTAATAAACACAGGTAAAGTTGTAGGAGAGGTATGTACTATAATGTGCATGCATGCATGGCCATATATAAATATTTAAGAGCAGTGTTCTAATGTAATTTCATCACTAAATATGCACCTCCTGTACATTTTGTGTCGTTTTTAATTGTGTTTGCGTTATTATGAAGCGTTTCCTACAACTTTACCTAAACACATGTTACAAATATTAAAAAAAATCAACATACCAGCTGAATTTGTTTTAATTTAATTTACTCTCTTACCTTCTATAGCACTCTTTACATCTTCAATCTTAATATTGAACTTAGTTTCGAAATCTGTTACATCCTTCTTTATATTCTGTATGTCGTTTCTTTTACTTTTATTTTGCTTGTGTTCTGTTAATCCTTTTTTAGTACTCTCTTGTTTTATTATAGTTGAAACAGCCACGTTCTTATTTTCATTTTTGCTTTTCTTAAATTTTAAAGGTGTCGGCGAAACACTTTTAATAGACTGTTTTCTTACAATAGGGGATTTTATTGATTGTACTGCACCATGAGATTTTTTGGGTGTCTTTGAAAAGCTTTCAGAGCCTTTAGAATCTTTTTTAACTTTCCCCATATCGTCAAAATAAATACAGCATGGAAAGAATAAAATTAACCTATTTTAGAGAGGTTAAGACATTCTTCTTTTTCACTTTTAGAAAAGTCATCTATTTATTTGCCACACAGCACACAGTATAGTGTGCTTTCGAGTTTTCAAGAAAAACAATATGAGAAGAAGATTAAGACCTATGACCTACAAAATAATTGTTTTGTAAATTTAAATTTAAAAATATTACAGATTTAATTTGCAATATCAAATAAAAAATAAATAAGATCCTAAAAAGTATATAAAATAATGTGCTTTATGTCAGAAAGTAATATAATTTGAAATCAATATCCTAGAATGAACGAAGAGTAAGTAGATATTATTTTTACCTTCTGTATTTCAAAACCTGATTATTTTATTTTCAGAGCTCGAAATATCATAAAGGATCATAAAAATCCTTTAACAAAGTTGGGGTTAATCGGGCCAAAATTATTTTTAAAAGATTCTAGTCAGGAAGCACAAGAAAAAGTTTCAAATAACTTAAAGAATTTAAAAATTATATTAATGCATCAAAAAGTTGAGAGAAGGTAATTTATAGTGAGTACTAATTTATTTCTGAAACATTACTTATATTCTACATGAATTTTCATAGATGTGGTCGAGCAAAAGCAGAATGGAACCCCTCTCTCAATTTGGCCAAAGTAAATAAAGTTGTTAAAGGTCTGTTAGAACATTTTGGATATCAAGACAAGAGTGGTATTTATATGTACCCAGAAGAAATGTTATATTTAGTTGAAACAGTAAGTATTTTAAAAACTAAATGAATGCATATTATTGAGAAATTATTTAATTAGTTACCTCTCAAGACCATGGTGGTTCGTGGTTAAAGACATTGGGTGTTTTACTTTTTACACATTAAATTCTAATCAGCAAACTTTTATTTATACTCGTATTTAAAAAATCTCTTCGTTTATTACCTTATAAACTAGATTCATGTCTTTAATGTACAATGGAAACACATGCTGGTGAATTAGCATAAACTAATAATCTACAGAACCACAATTGAATCATATACCTATGTGACAGACTCCTGTTAATTAATTTGGATCAATATGGCTCAAGAGGAAACTATTTGAAATGGATAGAATCTTATCTAGAAAATATACAGCAAAGAGTTTGCATCATTAATGATTTTCAAAAAACCAAATCAGATATATAATCCCAACAAATGTAGGATTACGACAGGGAAGCATTGCTGGACCATTATTATTTTTTAAATACATGAATTAATTGTTTCAAAATAACCTTAGCCCTAATCAATTTATAACTGTGTATGCAGATGACACTACCCAGACAGCACACCAAATCCTTTGGATATCTACTGAACATCCCAATATCCACTGAATGTCCAGTCCATGGTGGATATCTATTTTATATCCATAAAATGTAATTTATAGACATGCAAATGCCCATAAATAATAGTAATTATATAGCAAATTATTAAAAAATTACGCCATTGTGCTCGCAATTGTGGCTAATAATACCGTTCAGATATTTAAAATTAATTTTTTGAAGGTGTATTCAATATCCCATGGACATCCACATATATCAAAGTCTTAGCGCGGACGCAAACCATCGTGGATATCTACTAGATGTAATTTTTGATTTTGCTTCCTAAGTATAGATGGCGATACCACTTTCGTATCTACTCATGCTCAACCCGCCATAATTGAGTTGATCGAAAAATTTTTCGCATTAACTCTATTAGAGACTGGAGTCGAGAATTTCCATTTATTGTAGGGCTGTTACGGAATAGCTTTTTGACGTATCTAGTACGACCTGTACCTATTCCAAGTAAGTACCAACTCTAAACTGTATGACAGAATATTGTTGTCGCTTGGCGCATATTCAGTATAGAGTGTAGGGGAATCTTTGAATCTGGTGAGTCCCATAAGCATAATATACTGGATTGTCTCTGATAATATTTAATATCGATCGATATTGTATTGAACTTAAAGCGTACTATTGTTTACATAATAACGCTAATTAAATTATTGTTCATTATTAATAGACGTTCGAGTGTAGTGTGGAATTTTTTTTCGATGGTAGATGACAAAAAATAAATTGCAAAATGTAATGTGCAAAACACTAAGTTCTTATAAAACCAGTGTCTAATTAAAAAAAAAAAAACATTTTTTAAGAAATCATCCTACAGTACAATTACATTGAATAATTTTAAAAATGTCACTAGTTCGTAATTATTCTCCTGTCTTATAAACATATAATCCCTAAAAAAATACCTACAAGCAAGAGAGTTGAAACATCAAACGAAAAATGAAACCTAATACCAAAATACTGAATAGGTACACAAACGTATTACAAGTTGCCTGACTAATCCCATATAATTCCGTTTCGGTTACAAACATCAGATATAACGCGCGGTAGTATCCAGTGACACAAGTAATAGGTTTGTGTGAAATTTGGTAACAGGTACACGGAATAGGCAGGAGATACCTATTCCAAAGTAACAGGTCCAGTTTCATTGTAACAGCCCTAATTTATTGCTGAAGAGTCCTAATAAGGATGACTTTTTCCTTAGTGGGCAAACTCAAAGGCAGATTGTTGGAAATATTTTTTATCTCTATTTTCTTTCGTAACAATCATTTGGTTACTTATGAATGTCTACTAAAGATACCTATAAAATATTTTGCTGAATATCTGAATTATATATCCTGGGATATAGACGGACATTTGGTTGGATATCCATATTGGATATCCACAAAATATATTCTGTGGATATCTCTGGGATTTCTTGTATTGTCTGGAAGATACTAATTAGATATTTTGCTGAATATCCATAGAATATCTTCTATATTCTGGATATAGACGGACATTTCGATATCCATATTAGATCCACGGAATATTTCTGATATCCTGTGGATATATTGGATATCCACAAAATATATTCTGTGGATATCTTTGGGATTTGGTGTGTTGTCTGGGTAATCTTCTGGTAGGTGGAGGAACATATCCTGAAGCACTGGAGTGATGTTTTCAGTAAAAAAGGAATGGCTTGCACAAAAAAAAATGGTTTTAAATGAATCCAAAACGAACACAATACTATTCCACAATAGTTTTAAATGAAAAATCCGAATAGTTAAATTCAATGATGACATTTCTTTCAAACTAACTGATAACACAACATTTTTAGAAATAATAATTGATGAACTCTTAAAATGGTCACAACAAATAGATGATAACTTATGGATTAAGAATTGTCACTAAGTATCTGAGTAAAGAAACCTAAGATATTTTAATTTGCCAATTTTGAATATATCGTAATAAGCTACCCAGACAACACACCAAATCCCAGAGATATCCACAGAATATATTTTGTGGATATCCAATATATCCACAGGATATCAGAAATATTCCGTGGAACTAATATAGATATCCAAATGTCCGTCTATATCCAGAATATAGAAGATATCCTATGGATATTCAGCAAAATATCTAATGAGTATCTCCAGACAATACAAGAAATCCCAGATATATCCATAGAATATATTTTGTGGATATCCAACCAAATGTCCGTCTATATCCCAGGATATAGAAATTCAGATAAATATTTTATAATTATTTTTAGTAGAGGTTCATAAGTAACCAATGGTTATTGAATAACGTCGAAAGAAAATAGAGGTAAAAAATATTCCCAACAATCTGCCTTTGATTTTGCCTACTAAGGAGAAAATCATCCTTATTAGGAATCTTCAGCAATAAATGGAACTTCTCGACTTCAGTCTCTAATGAAGTCTGTTTGTGAAACAATGTCGATCAAACTCAATTACGGCGGGTTAAGCATGAGTAGATACGAAAGTGGTATCGCCATCTATACTTAGGAAGCAAAATCAAAAATTACATCTAGTAGATATCCACGATGGTTTGCGTCCGCGCTTAGACTTTGATATATTTATATTTATAGTGGATGTCCATGGAATATTGAATACACCTTAAAAAAAATTAATTTTAAATATCTCAACGGTACTATTAGCCACAATGGCGAGTACAATGGCGTAATTTTTTAATAATTTGCTATATAATTACAATTATTTGTGGACATTTGCATGTCTATAAATTACATTTCATGGATATAAAATAGATATCCACCATGGACTGGACATTCAGTGGATATTGGGATGTTCAGTAGATATCCAAAGGATTTGGTGTGCTGTCTGGGTATGGAATAATTTTTTGGGGCAGTAACAGCAGTGCTGAAAATATATAATACAAAAAGAGCAGTGAGAATACTTAATGATATGAAATTTTATGAATCTTGCAGGACTGTATTTAAATCAAAAAATAACATCTTAACTGTAATGGGAATCTTTTATGAGCACCTTTTTATGCATTTTCAATATATGTTTCCCATTGAAAAAAGTTAAAGAGAAAACCTCTCCCAAAAAAATGTCAGTTTTGTCCTATGAGTGACTGAGGAGTCTGAGGTGGAAGAATGCAAAAGGCTATTCACAATGATGAGAGTGAATAATAGGTTTTGGGATAGTTATAAAAAGGTAACGAAAGAGTATAACAAGAAACTATTAACTAGAAAAAAGAAAGCATTTGGAAAACAAATATCTGACTCGGATAATAAAGCTAAAACAACATGGCAAATAGTGAGTAATATAAATGGCAAAAATAACCAGAATACTATACAAATACCGGGGGAGGCGTCAACAGTAGCAAACAATTTTATGACTTTTCTTGAATGGCCGAAGTATCCATCAAAAATGTGGTCACCTTAAGATGGATCAAAGGTCACGCCACATCGAAAGGTAACCGTCTTGCCGATTCACTAGCCAAGAAAGCAGCCAGCCAAATACTTTTTGGACCTGGCCCTTCTATTGTCCTGACAAAATCGGTAGTGACAGACCTAATTAAAGAACATTCCCTTATGAAATTTAAGGAAAGATTGGATGAAATAAGAAACTGCAGAGTTGCCAGGGAGCTCTTAAGTTATCCTGACAACACTGCAGCAAACAAATACTTGACTATGACTAGACAGAATCTGCGTCTGGTCACAGGCATTCTGATTGGTCATTGCCAAGTACGGAAGCATCTACATATCATGGGGCTGTCAGAATCCGCACTCTGCAGAGGGTGCGAACAAGAAGATGAGACCATCGAGCATATCCTTTACGATTGCCCGACGCTCTCATTTATTAGAACATTTATGTTCGGCGAGTATCGGCTAACACCGGCCGATATATGAGAAGCACCTCTTGCCGACGTTGTCAACTACATTAAATCTGTAGGCTGGCTCACGAGCTAGGAGGTGCCTATCATCTTAGGAGGATGCACAATGGGCCTAATGAGACCTAAGTGCCGTGGGAGTAACCCACCCTCCACACGTTAAATATACTTTTCTTGAAAAGTCAATAACAGATGTAATTACTGGCGTAAGTAATAGTAATTATGTAAGTACAGTATCTAGTAACTTAAAGTCTATATATGTAATACCAGTAACTGCAATGGAAATTGTAGAGATCGGGAAGAAACTCAAAAATAAGACGAGTAGTGGTATATGAGGTACCAACAAAAATTATTAAAAAATGTATTGAGCAAATTGTGAATCCACTAGTATATAATAAATAACTTTTCGATTTGGGGTGTTTCCTGATCAATTAAAAATAGCTTGCATAGTACCTGTTTTCAAAAAAGGTGACGTAAAAAAAGGTGGAGAACTACAGACCAATTAGTCTTTTAAATTCTTTCTCAAACATTTTTGAAGCAGCAATGTGTAAAAGGGTATTAGAATTTATTATGACCTGTAACTTATTAAGTAAAAATCAACACGGTTACCAGCATTTGAAGTCTACTCAAACGGCAATTTTTGAGTTTGTTCAGCATGTTCTAGGTGATCTGGAGAATGGTAGGCTGGCTATGGTCCTATTCTTGGACTACGATTGTCTAGACCATGGGATAGTGCTGGACAAGCTGGAGAAATATGGAATTAGGGGGCCTGCATTAGGGTGGTTCAAATCATATCTTAAGGATAGGAAACATGTTGTCAAAATATATAAAAATAATGAGGAAGGTAGATCTGTAGAAATAACATCAAATATAGGAATACCTTAGGGAAGTATAGTAGGTCCATTGATTTTTATTATTTATGTGAAGGAACTAAACAGGGTTATGATTGCTAATGAGAACTGTGAGCTAACCAATTATGCATGCAGATGACATAAATATCTTAATAAATGCATCTAATATGATGGAATTAACCCTAAATGCAGAGAGGTAACTAAAGCTAAAAAATGGTTTGAAATAAATAAATAATACTCAATGAGGGCAAAACAAATGTGGTACTTTTTAAAACCAATTACAACAGATGAAATGCCAATAAATATTCAACTATACAACTATATTTAAGGTCTCAACTAGTACCAAGTTTCTGGGGCCTATATATTGGTAGTTTTCAGTGCTGGGAAAGCCATGTTGAGTCTGTATGTTTTGTATCTACAAAACTAAGCCAGATCTGTTACAGCATCAGAGTTGTGAAGAAATTTTATTTTTAAATATTTGTTTATAGGATTTTCAAAAATCAAATATATTCTTGATAAATAAAAAAATCAATTAAATTTATACTTAAAATTAAAAATAAAAGATATTAAAATTAAAACCTTTGCAAATTTTGAATCCAGAATTAGACATGGGATAATATTCTATGGTATAATTCAATTATTGAAAGGGTTTTTTAGTGCAAAAAAGAATAATGTGGATTATGCTCAGTTTGAATATGAGAGTCGTGTAGAGATAAATTTAGAGAAAATAAAATCTTAACTGTGATAGCCATATACATCCAGGAATGCTTAATTTTTTTATTTAAAAATAGAAGTTTATTTTCAAATTTTGAACCAACAAATGCTTATATATTGAGAAATATAAAACTAGTATATCCAATACATAGGCTGACAGCTACAGAACATGGAGCAGGGTACGGCTGTGTAAAGTTGTATAATAAACTGCCTGATACAATAAAAAGATTAGCAAATGTTAAAGTATTTAAAAGGGAAGTACATGAATTGTTAATTAATTTAGAACCATATACAATTAATGAATATTACTCTATGTGATCATTAATATATTTTTCTTGACAATGTTTTGTTTAAGAATTGTCTTACTTATATGTATTATGATTGTTCCTCAAAATAAAGATTATTATTATATTGTCGAATGCTTATTCTATATATCTTAATAAAAACAAAAACACTTTTGATAATGGTAAAATTTCTCATAAACATAACACTAAAAAATCACCTTTATACCTATATCAAATTAAAAATCACTAAAAAATCTTCATTCTATATGGCAATAAAATTTTACAACAAAGTACCTTTAAGAATAAAAAAATATTTCTTAAATAATAAATTAAAAAAGAAATTAAACTAATTATGAAATTAGAACCTTATTGTATTAGCGAATATTTAGATTCTAATTTAAATTAGAAATGTTTTGGACATTAGTTTATTCTGTTTTGTTAGTTATAAATAATATTTTGTATATGTCAGAACTTTTTGAAATAAAGATTATTAGGCATTGTTATAGTCGAAGCACACCGATCTGGCAAAAATGCAGCCCAAATACTACTGTATCTCGGCGTTACTTTTTAGAGAACCCCGGCAGGTGAGACAATACACGCTGGCGGCTCAAGGGGTGCACAGACCATCCCAAAAGTGACCCAGCTAAGATATTGTCAAGCTTTTGTTGTCTTCCACTAGTCGGCTCTGTAGAGTTGGATTCTCATCTTTCGGTGCATCTTGTATGGAGACGCCTATTTTTGTTCCATAGACTGCAATTCTTATGTAATGTCGAGATACAATTGTCTCTTTTTGATACCACGCATGTTGAGTACGCACATAAGAATCCCTGTGCTGGACTTATTCTCAGCTATGAAATGCTAGTAGGATACATTCGTGTGCTATGGATACTATTTAATAATTAAAATTAATGAGATTATCTATTTTTATGTATTCTTTAGGTCTAAAATAATTTCTGTAAAATGTAGAGGAGATACTTGCATTTTCATGGCAGTTCTGCAGCTCTTCAGCACTTATACACCAACCACCATTGTCTTAAGATTTTTTTCTGTACTCTACATTTAAATGTCTTAGACTTTAATTTCATTTTAATGAATGTTTTGTTTGATTATTTAGAATAGAATGGAGATTTCATTAAATGAAGTTCCTTTATCAGTTCAAGAATGTTATGATATTATGCTAAATTTACCAGAGTTTACCCTAAATAAATACAGAGTTTATAAGAAACTAATGTCACAAGGCTATAGAGTAGTAAGATTTAGTGAAATAACAAGAAGAAAAGGTAAAAAAACTAAAGAAAATGAGAATTCCAATGAGAAAAAAAGGGGACTAGAAGAAACTGAAAACAAAGCAACTGAATTAAAAAAAATTAAAATTGTTTCTTCAAATGAGAGACTTGAATTTAAGAAGAAAGAAATTAATAAAATTTTCGAGGAACTCAGAAAAAAAGCCCCCCAAAGTTATGTACCTAATAAAAACGAAGAACCAACACCTGATTTTTGCCTTTTCTTGGCAAGTAATAGTAATAGGATTAATTGGGATTATAACTTGTATGTTAGGTAAGTGAATTTGCTATTTTCAAAAGTTATGAAAATGTAAAATATATTTATTGTTAAAAACAAAATATTTTGTTTTAGTGAAAAATATGCTTTAGATGACCTGAAGACTGATCATCCATCAATATATGCCATTTGTAGTGGAGATAATATTTCACTTTACAAAATTGGGACAGTCAACATCCCATGTAATATATACACATAATTTAATTGTAAAAGGCTTGTTTTGTTAAAATAAACATTTATACATAAAAACAATTGTTTATTCAAATACTTGTACAATATAAAAGTAACAAATAACATTTAAAAAAATTACAACAGTAACGATGTACAGATATTCATTTTGATACAGTCATAGTTAAATACCAGTATTTTATAGACAACAAACATTTGCAATAAAATATGAGTAGGTATATTTAGAGTTAATCAAAATGGTATCTGCCTTTGCACAACAAATGATTTAAAAAAAGGTAAAATAAAAACGTTTTAGTAGGTACTACTATTGCTTGACTATCAGAAATTAGTGGGTGAAAAGAAAAATGTACTTTGCGTTATTTTAGACCCTTAGCTATAATATCACACAAAGCATTTTACATGTTGCCCGTCTTGAAGGCCAACAACTAAAGGCAATATATTTTTTTAATAGTAAAAACATTTTTTTTTTAAATTGGCAGTTCCAGAAATTGTCGGATACATAGCTGGAATTTTTAACCAAATAAACATTTTCATATGATTTTAAGATCAACAAAAAATCTGATGAAGAAAGAATAACAAAAACAACTGCCATTGCAATTTAAAAAATACGGTCCTTAAAATTATCAAACACTGGTTTGTATTTGCAAAAAAGTTTTTTTATCGTTTCTAGCCTACACCTAAATTGTGTATACAACTATTATATTAAAGCTTGTATATTCTTTGTATTCTAGAGGTATACATTTGTTAATTTTATTAAATTGACCTTAGTATTTTTTCATCTAATCACTAGTTGTGAACAACAAAGTGGTTGATATAAAAGGTATCACCAAATTAATTCCAATATATGCAGGGATGTGTCAAAATTTGTACTCTACTTAAGAAGTTTTCATTTTTAAGAACTAACACCTTTTTCATCCTTTAAATTAATGCATGTATCGGATACAATTTTGTGCACACCCTGACAATACTCTACAGTTTTAATTTACGGACTAATAACTGGAATTGTTAATCAAATTTTTGGCCCTAAAAATGTAATACAAGTAAGGTATAAACCATTAAAACTTATTGAAATGCCTACAAAAAGTATACTTTCAACATTCAACATAGAAATAAATGCACATTCTTAGTTGCTAACAATAAATAAAACATACAATATCATTTTACTCAACTAATCTAACAAAAATATAGCCTTAATTTGTTTAATCACAACCTAACATAACAGACATAATAACTAAAAATATTGGATTAAAGTATCACATTTCGTTAAAAAGAGCAATGACTAGTTAAACATTATGGTATAAAAATCAGATCAACAAGTTCAATAAAGGGCATTTAATTATTATAGAAATCAGTTTGATACATCAAAAAATCTTATACCAAATCAAGCTTTTCAGTAAGACAACCCGTGTTTGTGGAGTTTGATTTATAATTAAAAATAAAAATCAAACTAACAGGCCAGCTCTGGAACCAACTGGATACTGTTATTTGTTTATTGTGAAGTGTCAAAAAAAAAACTTCATTATGGAATATTGATTTTTTTTGTGGTTATTACCATGATAAACTTAATTTTTTTCATTTGGCATAAAATTTCTTACATTTGTATCTGCAAAAACTGCTTTAATTTAAGCCCATCCAAAGTTAATCCCAGTGATCTGGTAAAAATGATTATTAAAAGGTCTATAGAAATCTCTCAGTCTCTGCATCACTATGGGATTGACATAGGGATGACTACGGCCTTTTGTTTTACCTAAGCAGTGGGGCGCCGAATGGCCCTCGCTTTTAAACAAGCAGGGAAAACCTTTGGTGGAATTAAAATAAAAATGTTTTTCCGTTACGACTCGTTTAAGGCCTAAAAAGTCTTGAACGCGTCTTAATTCTATTGCTGGATCTAAAACTAGACGTTCTCCGCTGACAAAAAGAAATTGGGAAAGAGGAAAAAACTTCAACCACCTCGATAGATATCTGTAATAAAATAATGTATGCAGAATATTATTTGTATAGGATTGCCAAACATCTATAAGTTGCAATAATGTAGATATATTTTATATAAACAATAAAACTATTATTCAAATGCCATTTAAAATGAGTAAACACTTCTCTAGAATATATAATTTTGTTTGTTTTTTTCTTTACTTTTTTAAGGTGTTAGTGCACTTTCAGAGCTGGGGAGGATTTGAATCACATAGGATTCGAATCCTTTTTGGGGATCCGCGAGCGGTATTCGAATACTTAAGAAAAAAAGGATCGGTGATCCGGATTCGCCGAAGAAATTCTTAAGGATTCGTATTCGAATCACCAATATTAGTCTCGGGTCCTTTTAGAGACTAAACTGCGCCGACGCGAACGGTCAACTCACGCTTTGACTTGTCGCGAAGTGTAAACTGAAACAGACTGAAACTGAAGACCGATTGTTAATATTTAGAAGAAAAACGTAAGAATCTACAAATTAATTCAAAGAAGGCAGCAGGGCACCTAGACAATTTTGAGTTGAAACCCATGCCATATTTTTAGGCTATTTTAAGGCTATTTTTACACCCTATTCAAAAATTTTATGCTACTCGTTTTTACAAAAATCAAGGTTCTCTGCTAAGCTTCGAACGAAGACAGCAAAGCACCTTGGTTTTTTAAAGCTTTTTTTCTAAAAACAACCACATTGCATTTTTAGGCTCTTGAAATATTATAAAACTTTACTAAAAAATTGCTATTTATAAATAATACAGGGTGCTTTGTTGGAACAAAGTCAGCAGAGCACCTCGGTTTTCTAAAGCTTTTTTTTTTTTTTAAAACAATTACACCGCATTTTTAGACTATTTTTAGGCTCTTGAAATATTTTAAAACTTTACTAAACATTGCTATTTTTAAATAATACAGGGTGCTTTGCTGGAACAAAGTTAGTAGAGCACCTCGGTTTATTATTATTATTTTTTTTTCTAGAAACATCTTATGTCACATGTTTGAGCTATTTTTAGGCTCTTAAAATATTATAAAACTTTTCTAAAAAAATAGTGTTTCTAAAAAATACAGGGTGCTTTGTTATAATAGAGGTGCTTTGCTGGCTTCACTCGAAGCTAGCAAAGCACATTGTATTTTTTAAAAATATTTTAAGAGCGCCTAAAAATAGCCTAAAAATATTGTCGTTTTTGGAAAATAACTTAAAAAGTGAGGTGCTCTACTGACTTCGATCGAAGCTAGCAGAGCACCTTGATTTTTGTAAAAAACAGCATAAAAATAGCTTTAAAATAGCTTAAAAATATGGCATGGGTTTCAACTCAAAATTGCCTAGGTGCTCTGCTGCCTTCTCTGACATCACAAATTAGCAATGGATGTCCAACATAAAAAAATCCTAATATTTAACACTTGCCTTGCTTTGTCTGGTACAGCCTAACGATTATTTTTATTTGCAGGTATAATCGACGCACCTCGAAATGTTGGTACTATGTAAGGCCAACCAAAAGACATTTTTATTTCATTGTGTGTTTATTTTGTTTTTTGTATTAAAATAAAATATATTTTTTGTAGATTCTAATTTAAGTTTATTCTTTTCAACATCTTTTTGTGTCAACCATTTGTATGCAAGTCAAAGTTGGTAATAGACACATAGTTGATATTGATATAAGATTCGGAAGCATGCATAATACCATGATATGACGCTGACAGTGAGTCATATTCGTGATCCAAAAAAATCTGATGTGTCCAACACATGACTTTCCTATCTAGTTATTACAGGCTTTTTCCGGTTATTTTTTACAACCTATTGCAGCATCTCTATAAATGTTTAGAGGATAAACTAAATATATACATTGTCCACATACATCTACCGCGAAACATTTTTCTATAGATATTCATTGAAAATGAAAATACTGAAAAATTTAAATTTAGCCCTTTTCCTACAATTTTTCCATTACGGTCCATTTTAAAAAAATCATGTATGAACAAATATTATAGAGATCGATATCGCAAACAACTTTTATTTCAACAATTTTCATAAAAATCAGAATTTTGCATATTTTGTCAAATTTTTCGAATACGGACCATTTCAGGAAATTTTTACATAAGGCAAAAATTATAGGTAATAATATTAGAAGTAACTTTTATTTGAACAATTTTTTTCTCCAAACATAAATAACAGATATATTCCATAAAATATAAAAACGGCCTCCCATAAAGTACCCCCCCAGATGTTCCGACTTTGTCCAAAATCTAATCATTTCACGTCAGGCCGAAATAAAACTTAAGTTTAAAATTTAATGTTTTTTTCTTTATCCGTTTTTGAGTTTTCTTCAAATTTCGAAATTTACACATTTTCTCAAATATCTCGAATACGGTCCATTTTAGAGAAATTATCTATAGAATAAAAATTATAGAGAATTATATTACAAACAACTTTTGTTTGAACAATTTTTACAAAAAAAAATATTTTTTTACATTTTGTCAAATTTCGCGAATACGGACCATTTTATGAAAATTTTGTATATAACAAAAATTATAGATAATAAAATAAGAAGTAACTTTCATTTGAAGAATTTTCTTCCCCAAACGTAAATAACAGATATATTCCATAAAATATAAAAATGACCACCTATAAAGTACCCCCCCAGATGTTCCGACTCTGCCCAAAATCTAATCAGCTCATTAGACGCTGAAACAAAGCTTAAGTTTGAAATTTGGTGTTTTTCCGTGTATCGGTTCATGAGTTATGCGTTATACAGACACACACACACACACACACACACACACACACACACACACAGACACACACACACACACACACACACACACACACACACACACACACACACACACACACACACACACACACACACACACACAGACATCATCGCGAAAATAGTCAAAACGGATTCAGGGGACCTCAAAACGTAAAAATCCGTCGAAAACTCGAGGTCGAAAAAAATCATGATTCCTATACTTTCCTTATATCTGTAAACAGATAGGAAAGTAAAAATTGATTCAAATCACTTGATTCGAATCCTTTTTATTGCTAAAAGGATTCGGACATAGGATCCGTGATTGTTTTTAATCAATATAATTTTTTTCGCAATTGGACTCCTCACTACTTGCCGTTGTACCTAAATTAATAATAATTGGTTCTAGGTTAGAAACATCTAATTGCTTGTATTTTTTCCAATTATGTTTTTAGTGTGTCTTATATAATTGTCCCATTGAGTATCAGTAACATTTATTCAAAGCTTCTGACAAAGTCTGAAATACATTTTTCACTGACGACTTTGTTGTTGAATTGTTTTTGTCATAAATCCTGTTGCACTGTGACCACACGATCTCTAGTGCATTGTACTGGCAGTGATGGAGGAGTTCTTAGTATTTTATGCCCATATTCCTCAACATATCTATCTGGTAGAATTCTTTTCATGGTACATTTTGACGAACAACTTTCTAAATCTGATATTTCATAACATTGATTGGATAATTAATATTCTTTTCCTGCAACCATTTTGCTATTTTATCTTTTGTCAAACTATAACATGGAATTGGTTCCATGCGTGGTGTAAATATAGGATGGTGTGCTCGCGCGCAGGCAGCCTCCGAACTGTGACGTCAGCAACGAGTATTTATGTCGAAAATGCATGGCAGTGGTACAAGAAAATCGCAGTTTATTCTTATTCTCGCTTTTGTTATCATTCTTTTTAAATTTTTTTTTACAAAAAATGTTACTATTAGACGTGTTACTGGTTTGATTGGATAGAGTTTTTAATTAAGTCAACTGTTTTTTACAAATTTAAATACAAAACTAGACAACATAAAGTAAATATTGTAAAATCGTTTAGGTACCTACTAGGAAAATGTTATGGAGTGTAGAGGTAAGGAGAACTATCTCCGAATACAAAAAATGTCCTTCAAAATGAATAAAATTAAGATGATATAAACAATTATTATATTAAAATGGTGATAACGTGTGGAATCAAAAGCTGCTTAAGCGCCAAAATTTAAAAAATAAAAGACATGCCGCAGTCGTTATTGTTTATCAAAGTTATGCTATGTACAGAGAGATGCAGAGAGACATGTATTACGTTTTTGTTTTATTTGTTACGTTTTAGTAAAATATGTATTACGTTGCTGGACAATAATGGCGTTTTTCTTGACAAATACAGCATTTAGCTGTACTAGATCAAATGCTGAATAGACTTTGTAAACCTTTATGTACAATACAGCGAAATGCTGTACATATATGGCCACCCTAGTGTATATAAGTCAGAAAAAGAAAAGAAAATTATACTTAACATGATTTAATGTAAAAAATCCGCAATTTCGATTACACCTAGCAAGAGGAAATTGCAAGAAACTTGCTAGGGTTGTGGGTTTTTTCAAAATACAAGTACATAAACAAACATAATAAACAAAAAGTACAATACTATAAATAAAAACTAATAACAAAACTAACATTAATTATTTGTAAATTTTGACATTTTTTTGACAGTTTTCGCCTACAGTTTTCAAACACAATATAATTTTATTTGGAAATTGTTTTGTTACTTCTACAGAACCGGCTCTAATTTTATCTAATAATTTTTTTTTTTAAATATTTAATTCCGTCGAAAAGAAGTTATTATGAAATCGATTAAATTCGGTCTTAACTATACGGGCTAGTTCTAACATTTCTTCACTTGGGTATATAAGGTTGCCTCTAGATATAAACTCGATCCAATCAGGGGTATAGGTTGTTTGACAAAATTTTGTCGGTGTACCCAATTTTAAATTTGAATATTCGTTTTTAAATCTATAAGCTACATATCCGGCAATAAATTCTAGACCTTCTTTAAAAATGGTGTCGGGCATTTTGTTTTTTCTAACTGCCTTAAAAGATTGTCGTGATCTTCAGGAAAAAACTGTCTGTTCCATAATCTGGACTCAAAAAAGTATGGTCAGAAAACGTTTCTTCACTAAAAAGATTCGATGTTTCAACAAAATCGCCGTCAGAAAGAACT